TATCACATGGCAGCTTACATAACTTTGGGGCAGGTCTCAAAAGAAGACATTTTAAAGTCGTGAGAAGTAGATGAGCCCGTCAACATCTTTTGTTCTTGCCTGCCCGGCCACTTTCACTTCTGGTCGAAGGGACAGCCTAGTTCACTTTTTGGAAGCCCTTTCCCTGAATTCAAAAGACTTTAGTAAAATACTAGACGGTATCACCACTATTGTTTCTCATATCTGCCCCAACTGAGAGCCGGCCACCTGGATCCTCTCTGTTCCAAGTCACAGACTACCTGTATCCTTCCCATTTTTATTTATTTATTTTTTTACCTAACTTAGCCAAAGAACTCTGACTGACACAATGTACCATCATCTAAATCAACGTGATTTCATGCCTGGCCACTTATGATCATTGTCATAAATGCTCCAGTATCCTGACTATGTTGTCCATATGCATTTGAATGGAATAATACAGGTGTGTTTGAATTACCATCACCCGCCTGAGTGAAGTGTTGGGATATATGAACCAACCTGTAGTACATCTGGAACATGCATTTCCTGCTCTCCTTCCATGCTACAAAGAACTTTACATTAGAAAATTCTCCTGTCATTTTTCTTACATGAGGTGATACAATCTCACTTGCACGGGCATTTTCTAGGGACGTTATAAATATTATATTTTGTTCAGTCAAGAGACATTGTAATAATCATGCCTTCCATTTTATAACACTTCATATTGTATAAGAAAGTTTTGAATGTGGTTGATGTCACGTAGGTGAGGAACTGAGGCTCAGGAAGGTTAAACGGATTTCCAGTCATGCAGTTGGTCCATGTCAGACCTGGGACTGCACTCAAGTTTTCTAATTCAAAGTCCAAAGTTGGTTCATTTACATCATAACTCGCTCTATCCAGAGGATCTCATTGTAAATGTTACATAAATGGTGCTCTTAACGTGTCATTTAGGAAATACCCCACATTGAAGAGTTGATCAATATATGTCAGATGTGGAATATGGGGACCAAAACATCAGTCAGGCTCCAGTCGTGTATGTGACTCATAAATTTCTGTTTAAAAGCCTAAATTTCTGAAGAATGATTAAAGGGGTGGGTTAGAAGTTTGCTTTTAATAATCTCACAAAATCTCATAGGAACATTGCGTATTTGTGTCTACTTTGCTTCTCTGAGATGGAATAAAACCCTCTCAGCCTGCATACCCATGAAGTAGACTGATTGTCACCAGTCTCATCCATGGCCTTGGAGGAGCCCTCCTAATCTCAGGGCTTCCACATTTTTATGAGGGTGTGGATATAGCAGTGAAATAAATAAATAAAAATAAAACCGAGTCCCTGGATTTATGGAGCTTAAATACCAATGAATAGAAACTAGATCCTGTTACTTACCAGTTTTATTATAGGTGCTGCCTGCTTTCCAACATTTTGCCATTGTTGTTGTTGGAGTTTCGCTCTGAGCTAACATCTGTGGCCAATCTTCCTCTTTCTTTGCTTGAGGAAGATTAGCTCTGAGCTAACAACTGTGCCAATCGTCCTCTATTTTGTATGTGGGTCGCTGCCACAGCAGGGCCTGGTGAGTGGTGTAGGTCCGTGCCCAGAATCCAAACCCATGAACCCTGGGCCACCAAAGCACAGTGTGCTGGACTTCACCACTATACCACAGGCTGGCCCCTGCTTTCCAACTGTTTAAAGAGGATCTCATGTGTTTCTCTCAAAGATGCAGTATTAGGTGGTCATACACAGCAGAGCAGGGACTAACGAGCTTCTACAAACTGTCCATTTGCTGGAGCTAAAACTAGTCTGAGCTGACCTTGCCCAAATTCAGAAAAAATATACTTCAGGAAAATTAAAAGAAAAAAAATTCAAGAGCATTAATATCAAACCTCACCAGAAGCCTTTGAGACTCCTTCCAGACATTTCTTCTGCTTTTTTAGACTGGCCAGGCTGAACTGTGCTTGAGACCAGGAACCCACAGCCAGAAGACACACTAAAATCTCGGGGCCTGACAGATATGGGGGACATTTTGAATGACTTCTTTCTTATTTTTAAAATTTATTTTTTGCTCATAAGTATTCATATTACTGCTTTTAAAATTATGTAAATAGCTTACTATTCTTGTATCAGTTACACATTGATGAATAACAAGCAACCTCAAAACTTAATAGCTCAGAACAGCAATGGTAAGCTCAAGATTCTGCGTGGGCTCACCTGGGGGTTCTTGTGCTGGTCTCTGCTGGGCACAGTCCTGCATTTGTGGACAACTGGTGCAGTGCCTGAGGTTGGCTGTCTCTTTCTGGAACAACAGGGGCACCTGGGACATGTGTTGCTCTTCATCCAGCTGGCTGGCTTAGCTTCTTCACGTGTGGCTGTCACCAGAGTCTCAAGAGGAGCAAGAGAGGGCAAGCCCCTTTCAAACCCTGTCTGCACTGTTTGTTAATGTCCAGTTGGACAAAGCAAGTCGCAAGACCAGTGTGGAGTCTGTGGGAGGCACTACCAATGGGTTTGGATCAAAGGAGGAAGATTATTTGTAGCACTTTTGCTCATTTATTGCAATCCACCACGGCTCATGTATTTGTAAGTTGGTTGGTCTGTTCTCAGTGTGAGGCCAGGCTAGGTGTGTCCTATGTGACATATGATATAGGAGTGTTAATGTAATTTCCATTAAATTTGAAAATGAGAAAAATTAAACTATGCCTTTTCAAATTATGAATTTAAATTCGTATTCAATTGAAAATTAAATGGATACATTCTAAGGCTTTCAAAAGCCCCTAAATCCAAGAATACAATGTGACCATCTCATTTTTTCCATAAAATAATGTATGCTTCACTGTTCACAGCATAGATGAGAGCCACTACCAAAGTTAACATTCCATTTTTTTAACTTGTCCAAGATTTCTATTTTCTGGTTAAAAAGAAACACTTTCTTTGATCTCATCCCTTTTCTTGTTGTCTACCATGAGGTCTAGTAATTGGCTTTCTTTCCAGGAGTATTTTTTTGCACAGAGACTGATTACACACACACACACACACACACACACACACACAATTACACCACAAACCTATGACACAGTTCTCACTTCAATTCACTTCAGTTATTTCAAATAGGATGAGTAGAGAGTACGTAGTGCCATAAAGCAATGAAGAAGTCAGGTAGTCAGCTAGACTCATTCACTAGTCAACTGTCTTTTTGCTCCATGTGAAGCCTTTCCAGCATACAGTTCAGTGAGGGCCTCAGCAAAATCCCTCATGATCACGCGCCATAACTTTTAGGATCCCCACAAACAATCAAAACCAAGAATTTTAAGTTCATGCCTACCAAGATTATATATCTTATTCCTCATAATGAAGAAAAAAAATTTGACAACATAAAAATACACTGATATACATAAATGTTGGCTCACTTTTCAATACAAGAAGTTGTATTATATGACACATAACTTGTTTTTAATTATGCAAATATTATCTGAAACCTCTCAATATGTTATAGCTACAGGAATTTAGTTCTAAAGAGTATTGCCAAAAAATACTCTACCAGACTACTTACGTGTTTCTTTCACAATCCCAGCGCTTACCAGTGGGGCTGGCATATCTAACATACGCTTCCGCGAGGCCTGTCATCCCAGGGCCCAGGCTTCTTACAATATTTTGATTGTGTCCTTTGATAGTACCTTGGTAAATGCCTGTTACAACTCTACTCAGCATTAACTCCACAGTTAAAAAAATAAAAAGAGCTATTGAACGATTTATGCAGCATAAAATGTGATGAAACTTTTCTCTGCCACTTCAAAAAGAAAAATGTAAGTCTCAACCACCAAAAGAAATGAGACAGTGACAGCTGAAGAGCGGCTCTGTTGGCCAATGGAGGAGTCACAAAGAGAGAGTGTCTGGCAGCCCTTTGATCTCTGCTGGATGCGCCCGCCATGGTTAGCGGGAGGTGCTTCTCCCTTCACGCAGAACGAGGGCTCCGGGAAACTTCTCCAAACTGTGGGGAGGGTCAGACAGCTGGGGGGGTTTCTGGGAAATGAGAGCTAAGCGTCCTGGATTTTCCTTTCCTGCCTCACCATGCAGTCGACTGCTTTCCCAGGTCGCTCATGTACTGCACTTTTTCCAGCAAGTTCCTAGCACCCTCCAACAAGCTTCTTGGATTGTGGTCACACATCTACACCCTGTTGTTCTATAAAGATAATAAAGAAACACTGTAACGTGCTATGTTTGGACAGCCTTCTCAGTGAGGCGAAACAGATGTCAAGAGAGGAAGACTATCAGTCTAAAGCTCAAGTGAGAGGAGAAAATTAAAGTGAAAACTTCAAAATAAGTCATTCACTGGGGAGTCAGTAGATGACGGAGTATGACAAAGTGGGGCAGCAGCTCCGGGGAGCCGAGCGAGATCCTGTTTCAGAACCAGGGTGCGTTCAGAGTGTCACAGATGCCTGTGTTAAACAGGATCATCTGTGGATCTGCAAAGGAATTCCAGGAGGTAGAAATTCCTTGAAACAATCGTAGGGCTCCACTGGCCTGTTCAGAAAGGCATGTCCAAAAGCTAGTTACGAGTCTGTTATCAGCACCAAGTCAATGCATCCTGCCCCAGCCCCAGCCCACCAAAGCCCTCTCCGCCCACCACGGCGAGAGCGGCTGCTGTGGTGGAGCTCTCTCTGTCCCTCCCTTCCTCTCTCTCTTTCTCTGTCTTTTTTGTTCCTTGAATAGATAGATAAATACATGGATAGATACATAGACAGATAGACAGTTATAGACAGTAAGAGGATGGATGATCGCATTCTTTCTGTTTTTGTTTTGTTTTTTATTTCCCGCTTTAAACTAAAAGGCTCTGGAAAGTAGGAACAGTGTCTGCTTTTCAGTACGCACGCCAAAGTGCTTAATTCATATGGTGGCTGCTGAGAAATGCTTTTGCCTGGTCTGATGATTCAAGAGTTTTAGACTTCTTTTACAAAACATAATGGAAAATATGCATGTAACAGAATACATATATATACAATGAGAACCAAGCGCTTCTGAATGTTTTCAGAAGAAAAATGCCAAACCCTGCCTGGCAAAGACATGTGCCTTTATTTTATTTCAATGGCACTTCAAGAGGCACACCAGAGGCCAAAATTTAATATTTTTTAAATGTAGAAAAATACTCAGTATCAGCAGTTTACTTCTGTTTTCGTAAGTTCTGTATTTTGTCACTGGAGAAACTATATTGCTGGGGCAAGATAATTTGAAGATTTCATAGCACTGAATTACAGTAAGCACCCGATTCAGCTAATGCTCAGAAAGCCCTGGTTAGGCAAAGAATACATCTGGCCTCAATGAAACTGGGCGAGAGCTTTCCAGAGAAGCAGGGAGACGACAGCTATCTTGGGATGTCTGACACTGCCCAGTTCTCTGGGAGGTGAAGTTCCGGGGCAAGAGGAGTCTCCTTTACAGGGCTTGTCTCCAAAGGCAGAGGACCAGGAAAGAGCTAAGTCAGGACACTATTTCTTTAGTTCCGCGAGAGGCTATATCCACTATCTCACTTGGACAACGGCCCCTCCTCTACTCCAATCCCATGGTACCACCATCGATAGTACTCCTATCCTTTACCAAAATAAGAAATCCCATGCATCTCAAGATCACCTTCCCCAGCATCTCACAGTCCCTGTACCAAGAAGCTCTTACTCTCCGTAGCCTGTTTAAATTTAAGCCTTTTCAATCTTACATTTTAAAATACAATGGCCACAGATACCTGTGACTCACCTGAAAATAACACAAGTAATTTAAGGAAGACCTTGAGTATGACCCCTTATAATTAAAAACGACTCAATAAAAGAATAAGGAGATACCTCAAGGACACAGGTCAAAGGAACACAATTACTTTTTCTTGCTGTTTTAGATAATATGGTCACTCACATAGGCGTGCCTGCTTGGAATACTGCTGTGGCCTCAAGAGGTGAGAGGATGCCTTTCCGGGTAGGGAGTTTAATTCAATCAACAGCACAGAGACAACGGGCCTTTCACTTCCATACTCCAGATAATGCAAAACAGCTCCTTCATCCCAAGGCCCGTTGAGAGGCCGCAGAGTTGCCATAGTGCGTTAACTTGTTCTTCCGTGCCCCTGGATGGTGGTTGTAAAACTCTAAGTGTTTGGATGAACGCGTCCCAGGATTTGATGATGAGCGCCTTTCGCAATAGAAAATGTGAGTCACACAGCTTTTACAAGGGCCTCTGCCTTGTGAAGAAAGCCTGAAAATTGGAATGAGTGTTACCTCTGCCAGAAGAATGTCAGGAAGTGGACCAAGAGACAACATGTGAAACCAAGTCAGCTACACTGTGTAAATCAAAATCCTACTTTGCCGTTTAGAAAATGGACCTTGGCAGCAGGCTCTTTATTGTCCCGGGGAACAACAGCAGGAACCGGAATGGTTGCTAGGCTAGTTTGTAGGGTTTTCGTAACCCCCGTTCCTCGGCACACTTCCCCCTCTGGGTATCACAGACTATGCTTCATCGGGGCTGAAAATGATAGAAACATTTTCATCCAAATATTACTCATGTAGACCCACGTAACTACATTAAATACTGTATGATTCCTTGTGCCATTGGGGCTGCATGCAGGCCTGGCTGCAACCAGCCGTTAAGCAGTTTTCTATTTTTTAATCAACATGGATGGATTTCACCTAAGCTATGAAATTACAGTAATTTGAAAAGATTTTTAAATATAAAGACATCAGAAAAAAATTTGTTTACTTCTATAACTGGATCATTAATGCTTGGGGAATTGACTCAAACTGAGCAATGACACTTTTTTCCAAAAAATACTTTTTTTAATACATTTTTAGTGTTTTTAGTTTTTAGTTTTTCTGATAAGCTTCCCTAAACGATAACATTTTAAACTTTGTTCAGAAATTTTGCCTTTATAAAAATTATGTTTTTAAATAATCAAATTGGGACTTAGGCTAAATATAAGGAACTTTTAAAATAGCAAGTACTTTCATTGCTTTTGCTTTGAGTTTTTGCATTCATATAACTTTAATATGTGAACTTTAACTATAACATTCACTTTAAATATAAGTGTTTTCCATTTATTCAGCTATATACAATTTTTAAAAAGAAGAAGTCTATGTAGAGGTAGGTCTCTAAGAATTCAAAACAAAAAGGAAGAACAGTTAACATGTTTCAAAGGTAAGTATTTTGTCAAAAATGTCTATTATGCTTCCTCTGTTTTGGTTTCCACAGAAATCTAAATCTTTTTGTTTACAACAACAAGAACTAAAACGGATACTGAAGGTGAAGTGGACATAAACATGTTTTTATTAAGGAATATGATTTCACCGTGAATCAGGAGCGCACAGAAGAGTGTCACTCATTGCGAGTCCACCCAGTTCTGGAAGCTGTCTTCCCAGACACCGCATGCTGGTCTACACAGGCAGGTCCAAGCTACTTTCCGAAATGGCACACGTTACAGCTAATCTGCAGATTAGTCACTTACAGACCTCAATACAAGTGAAAAAAAGTGTGTGGAGAGGTCAAGTAAATACTACCACAAACACAATCATCACCACTAGATTTTACGTGCCACGTTGTAACAGTCATTTGATCAGTGACTGTCAATTGCTTAAGAATCAGAAAGTTTACACAGCTGTAAAAATGTACTGCCAGTGTCTGAACTACCTGCTCTTTCCCCTGGGCCACATTTTCCTGCTTTGCTTTCTCACCCACCAAGTGAATATCGTACAATTCCAGTCGGGGAAATGACTGTATGATAGAGATGCCTTCAATCGCTCTGATTTGTTTTTATTAATTACCTAGAAAATCTTCAGTCTTGTGTTTTTGTAACACACTGGAAATACATTTCCCATCAAATTATGACATATATGGCTCTCAGGACACTATGGCTAAAAAGTGATACTTTTTTTAAAAACAGTGTTATTAACATAATATTCAATACTGGTTTACTATCACCATGTATAAAAGTAAATGCATTTCCAAAAAACAAAAGTAGAGTTCCAGAGACCACATGAAGGCACACAGCTGCTTGCTAGATCATATGTTTATGATGAAAAAGAAGCAATCAGATTAATTTTCCACAACATAAGAGTTTGTACTGAAGGTGGCTTTTCCCAGAGCATCGACTTCAGAATGCTTATCCTGTGTTGGAAACTGCAATGAAAATAAGTGGACATTCTGGTGCCCCTAAACAGATCCTAATGTCCCCAGTACTTTACGAATGAATCATTCAAATTCTTAATTTCTACGGTCAAATGCCAATGACTTTCAGCAAGTGAAAAGCAGAGAATTAAAATACTTCTCCGGCGACACCGGGTGAGTTTTGCTAAGAATTTTTTGTAAATATATTAAATCATGAAATGCTGAGAGAAGAAATCTAGGCAATTTCAAATTTAAGGTTCATGAAGAGGATAACTTCTATGTAGGGATAGGAAAATTAGTATTTTCTATTTGAAATCAGAATAAATTATAACATTTTCCAGTCATTTCAGCCTCAGAATCCTTTGAAACAGCCAGGTCTGAATCCAGCTCCTTCTCACCCATGAATGTTGCTGTTTTTAGTTTAAAGTCCTCAGTAAGTGCCTCTGTCCTCCTCACGTGCTCTTTCCTGGAAGGCCCTCAGTTGAACCTCAGACTTAACTTGTACCTATGTACATTCAGAGAGAGAGTTTTGCACCAAAATGTCTTACTTCCAGCCACACCAACCCGTGCTATTCAGGAAGAGGCTGAGGCTCCATCTATTCCCAGATCTTGGTCTCGTAAGTCAGTACCTTACGGATATTTGGAAGAGTATGTGTACCAAACAGACGGCAAAGGCTTCACCAGCTGCTAGCCAGGGATCACAAAAGCGGGAAGGAGTTTACATGAATCAGACCAGAAAATCCTTGCCACGATGTAAAAGGGTTACCACAGGAAAAATCTGCCAACCCAAATGGCCAAAATTTAGCACAGAGATAAAGCTTGTAACACTGCTATAGTTTCGGAAAGAATTAGAACACACACAACATTTTCCGTTTGTTCCCCAGCACCACGCACCCCATCCCACACCCGCGGGAGAAAGCTCGCCCTTTCCAGTGTCCATCCCTTCCCACGCTACATGACAGAGATGGGTACACACTCACCCAATGCATTCCCTCTTCCTAGGTACAAATCTACACTTTGTTTTCTAGGCATCTCGCAATTTTTTTTCACCTCTGCTCACAAACAGTTAAGACAGATGTGCCTTCTTCATGTCTTCTCTTGTCATTGACTCCAGATGGCGGAGACCAAGCAAACTCCCAGCCACTTTTGAGAGATGTACAGCCACAGTATGGAAGGAGCCTAGGTCTTCACGTGACCACGTGGAGCAGAGTCTGTCCCTCTGACCTGCAGTGAACTTCGACAAAAGCAGAATATATACTCTTATTGTGTTAAGCTTTCTCAGGTTTGGAGGTTGTTTGTTAGGGCATATAGCATATACTCTGACTAATAAACTACTCCTCTCATAAGATATTATCAGAGTTAAGTGCATAATCTTACTCTTCAGATTTCTAAAAAAAAAAAATTTCATTTTGGAAGGAGTCTACCATGACCAAGCCAGTAGGAACTTTACAAAATACAAAATGTCTCTCAGCTGGAGTTATCCTTTGCATCTTCCTCACTCATGACTCATCCAGCAGCCATTCTAAAACCATTTCCTTCTTTGCTACTATAATTCACTTGCAAGAATGCAGAAGTTCTTACAGTAGGATAATGACCTTGGAGTTCCACAGAGGGGCTAGTGGTATGAAACGGAGATGAGGTCATCTTGTACCGAACTACAGAACTATGATTTCAGAATCACAGAAGTGTTAAATCATGCTAGGCCACTCACTTTGGTCTTGCTGGAAATTTTCATTGCTCTCCAGGATAACAAAGTATTCCATAAACCAGAGATATGTGGGAAAAGAAGGAAATTCAAGTAGCCAAGTGGAATTAGCCTTATCTTGTAGATAGTGCAGTTTCCTACATTTAATCTTTGTGAGCAGCGTACTATAATTCTTTGGGGATGAAAAACACAGGGAACACATTAGAAACTTAAATTCCACTGTTTGACATACTGGAGTTTTCAACCATTATTTTCAGCTGGAAAAGTATAAAATAATAAACTTCAATGTTCTAAGTGTGGCCTTTGGAACTTTCTTTGTTGATGCTATCATGAGCACACATATTAAAAGTGAAATGGAAGATGAATAGTTTACAGGGTAAAGAAACATTCTCCCTCTTCACAATCTATGGTTTCAGGGCCCCCCTAAGGCCTTAAAATGAAGTCTACTTGGTGGTCTCCACTCTAACCCCTGGAGAATGTGCTCCGCATCTCCAACGCAGAACACCTGATGCTGCAGAATTTGACACTTCTCTGCAGCCTCTACACAGAAGAAACAGAGGACTTGACATGCATGGAAATTAAATTATCTGCCACCCCTAGAGACACGCTGTCCTCCCAGGTCAGGGTCACATGAAGGTCAAATGATGGAACTCAAATTTCAACCAATTCCGCCCTAGCTGTGAATCGACAGAAAACACATCCCTTTGAGTTCTTGACAATCTGCTACATTTTACGTGATCCATCAAAAATAAGAATAGAATAAACACACCAAGTAAATCACCTTAAGAGAAAAATAGTTTTGCATTATCAAACTAGGTGATTACCTTAAAAACCAGGAGCTGCCTCTGAAGCGTGAGTTTCCCGTGAGTTCTCAGATGTATAAACGCACTTTGAGACAGCTATAAAAATGCAGCATGTGTTGTCAAAGATTGATCCTAACCACTCGACGTAACCTTCACAGAGGCTTAGGAGTCCGTCCCTGGGTTCTGTTGATGTACAGGCCTAAGGAATATCTGAATGGTTTAGAGGCAGTCAGAAGAGAGAGAGATTTTAGGACTCATGATTAAGGCCTCAATGAAAATACACAGGCACCTAAAACATGAAATAAAAATCTTTTTAATGAAAATTAACCATTAGTATTCATGGGTGCCCCTTCAATGCATAGTTACATGAGGCTTACCTAAACGTTATATATTTTTGAAGATAATTCTCATTGCAGAAAGTAGACTGTTTATCTGTTCACTTCCACACAATTCCTTCTCAGCTGACGTCCAGCCATCTACTCGCTGAAACAGGACAAACCTCAGCCAAATCAGAAAAGTTAAAAATGTATGTAACCGCAGTGCATTAGAATGCTTTCAGCTCATTCAGAACACATTATATTTCCTACACTTAGGCAAAGTTTGGAGCACTAAATGAATTTATGTAATTATGTCTAGAAATGAGGGTGATTTCTGTAGGATAGAATGTTCTATATTTCTATAGAAATAGAAATGAGGGTGTCTTAAAGCCTTTGAAGACACCCAGACTTTGAATGCAGAAGATATGAAAACCTTCTGAATTCCTAGAGGTCACCTACTCTCCTCTCTTCATTCTTTGGGCTGCCTAATCCGGGTCCTAGTTGTTCTGCAGGAGAAACAATGTCAAGAAGCAAGCGTCCTTTCCTTCCTCCTTGGAGTTTACAGCAGTGTTACCCTGTGGACCCACGGCCTCCAGTGAAGACACAAACAACTGTATCCACGCGACCCTATGGGCAGCAGCAGGTAGAGACAAGTAGACAGGTGCATCGTCAGAACTCAGACCACTCTTCCAATAATGTGCGCACAGGGTTTGACCCCATCCAACCTTCGTCAAGTTCTCTGATCAACTGCACTCACATTTTGAGCATCATCCGCTAAATCAAACTGTCAAACCTCTTGCCACAAGAACTTCATGTCTTGGGCTTGCTCCGTAAGTACACAGGGCTATGCAACTCTTCTCACTTTCAGAATTCGATGGGGAAAAGAAAGGCTCCTAAGAAAGAGGAATACAAAGAAATGACAAAGTGTTCCAAAAACGGATTAACAAGAGCAGTGTAAAGACAACATGTGATCCAGCTAAGCTACTTGCCTGTCTTACCTATGACAGGTGAGATAGGTAACCTATCTTACCTACGACGGCCTGATTATCTTCTAATAATTCATCTTTTCATTTGGCTAAAATGAAAAATAAGCATTTTCAACCACTAGATATATTATACACATGGACCATATATAATGTGATATATATGCATACATATAAAATAAAATGATTAAAATGTAAAATCATCAAATTACTTAAAAAATAAAGCTCAGGTTTCCAGCTGTGGCTCATCAGCACATCAGCATTAGACCAAAGAGAGCTTCTCCCACCTGGCTCCAAAGAGGTTTTCCGACAACCTGGTATTTTCAATGAGGTTTCTATCACAGCCAATTTTTCCTAGAATGAGTCTAGATCCCCAGCCTAATGTAGCTCATTTTAGGTCTGAAAATCTTTACCCTCGGGGCCTCTCTAGAAGCCCGTATGCCCAAATATGTAAAAGGATAAAGCCACCCTTTCTGGTTAAAACTGCAAAGCCCCTGTGAGAGGCAGCAAAAAGTCCTGACTCGACATCAGCAGCCACGGCCACAGGGAGTGGGGCGCAGGGCCATGGCCCAGTCAGAGGCAGCACCCTCGGAGAACCACACTGACTCGGAGAACCTCACTGACTCGGAACACCCAATCTCCTGGCCCTTGGGCATCACGGGAGGACCAAGTTAAACTGGCTTTCTGCCCTCCAGAAAACAGACTAATCTGGTCAAAGCAGAAAACCAGTCCTATTACTAAGAGGTAAGTACGTATTCTCCAACCAAATAGTAGGTATTGCTTGCTCATTTCTTTTATTTTAATTCAAAAGTAATAAGTAATATGTCCTGATTATAAAAAATATAGATATAGACCTATTCACCTTTCCCCAATACTGCAGCCCTCACCAGAGGGAACCCTCACAAACCATTTTTTATGCATTTATAGATATAGATAACCACAGTAATAGTCAAAATATATGTAGTACTTACTATGTGCCAGGATTTGTGCCAAGTACCTTAATAAATATAATTTAGCCCTTACAATAAACCAATAAGAACTATTATCTACATTTTACAGGTGATGAAACTGAGGCACAGAGAAGATACAGGATTTGCCCAAGTTGTACAGCAAGTGACCCAGTCGAGACTTGAATCCAAGCACTTTTATTCCAGATTCTATGTTTAACTACCATGCAACACTGTCCCTACTTAGATAAAATGACAGGGAGTGAGCGCAGGTGGCGCTGAAGGCAGCGAGAGCAATGCTGGCTCTCTGGGGCGTTGGCCATAGAACGGAGGTGGGTGGAGGTGCGCAGAGAGGTAGGCGTGGCCTAGACAGAGGTGTAGCTCAAGATCATTTGCATGATTTTCTGTTTTTCTTACATTAATAGGATCACTCTCTGTGTATTATTCTGGGATTTTCTTTTCCTTAATTCTGGTTAATTGAGGCATAATCTACATACAATATATTTCAACTGTTTTATGGTACTGTTGTATGAATTTAGTACACTGTTGTGTGATCAACACCACAGTAAAAACATAGAATGTTTCCATCATCCCCAAAAGTTCCCTTCTAGTGCTTTCAAGTCAGCCTTTCCCCCACCTCCAAGCTGTGGCAACTGTTGACCTGCTTCCATGACACTTAACAATGTGTTTTGGAAATTATTCTATGGGAATGGTAAGAGCGGAATAAATTCCGGTGATTTTGCAAAATATAACCTGTATTAGATAAAGTGTGACTTATGCTTCATATGTTTATAACAGAATTGTCATAGTGTATTGTAAATGGGATTACAGAATAGATTTGCACAATAGCCCCTTTATATTCTTCTATTTCAAACCTACAGCAAATGCTAAACAAGAGCAGTGTGAAGCACGTAACTTTTCTCCAAAAAGATTGCCAAGCATCAGGAAGAAATAACAGCTGTCAATTTGCCCTCTTTCAACTTACTGGAAAGCAAAGCGAATAGAGAATTGGTGGAGAGGGGTGGAAAAAGGAAAGAAACATTAAAAACACTGTAAGCTATTTTGCATATCTTAAAAACTACATAAGTAACCTAACTATGTTTGATGGAGTAAAAATAAATTGAAGAGTTTCTCAGGGCCTGCTCCCCAGCTGAGGGGCCGGGTCTGAAAAGAGCGAGAGGACAGCCAGAAGACAAAGGACTTGGAACACTTTAGGGGGAATTTTCATCTCCATAGGTTCCTGATGCCAAAAACTAGAAGAAGTTCTGAATAATCTCTTCAGCACAGCACAACCATGACCCTCACATATCAGATTTAATATTCTCATTTGGCATTTCATAAGCTTCTACAAGGTTCCAAAGGAGAGCAAGCACATTATTTTCTTCCAGATTAATTTTTTTGGCAACTAGAATGTGCCCAGAGGAATCCACAAGCCATATTCATTCACACATGCAAAGAGAGAAAGCTAAGGTTATTGACTAACAAGTTGACAAAGTGTAACCCAGCCAGGAGCTGGTTTTCATAGACTTACTTGGCTGTGTATTCAAATGACGGAAGAAAAATGCTTGCTTTTTCCCTGTATGGATTGCATCTAGTAGAGTATAGGATTACAGAAAATAATGCTATCTTACTGAAAAAACTCTGTTATACTTATTTTGTGTATTCAATTAAACTTGTTGGCTTAAGCAGGTGTAATCTGACGGCAGACATATCACCTGGATGTTCCTGGAGGGGACGACAGAGCTTCAGGCTCATGGGTCAACGGCAGGGCGGTATTTTGGAAGTGCATGAGAGGAAAGTGCAAGGATACTGTTCCAAAACTTATTCTTTTTAAGAGGTGCTTGAGAGCCAAAGATTCTGAGTGTTACATTGCCAGGGTGTACTCTAAAGGGGGAGGAGGAGAGGCGTGCTCTCAGCAGGGTGACGGCAGGAGTCCGCAGCCTCACAGCAGAGACCCTCTCTCAGGGGTCTTTCGCTCAAGACCTTAGTTCCCATATTCTATCTGTTTCTCTGTCAAATTCAGTCCACCACAACACAAAAGAAAGAATAATTCTATTTCTTTGCTTCTTTATAAAGGATTTACTTCTATAATATAACACTCCACCAAACACAACCAGTGGTCCATGAGCTTAGGAGGCCCACCCAGGGCTTCTGGTCAGAGGGAGAGCTGCGGTTGTCCACCCTTCCTCCCTGTGCCTCCATTGGCTGAGAACTCCAGCTCCATCACTGAGCACAAGCGGCTCGGCCTCACCGAGGCTGGGTCTTCCCCTCCTCTGGCCCACATGTGTAACTCTAGCCTTAGAGGTCGGGACAGCATGTGGGATGAGGAGCACGACTGAGTGTCTGCTGCGTGTTTTACAGGTTTCACTGTTGTACCCTTAGTCACAAGAGGATGAGTGAGAGGCTAGAATATCTGGGGGGAGAAGACAGCATTTCTCATTTTGGGCAGCAGTCTCCATTTAAGAGATGACTTAGGAATACGGATCTCAAGTCTCAAGCAGGAACTGGATTTCAATACATGGACTAAATATTCATAATAGATGCTAAAGAAACCACATCCCACATCCAACGTTTTAATTTCAGTGGAGGTTATATCGCTCTATTTGCCATTCATTATACAACGATAGACAATATCCAGCCTTTGCCCAGCACCTCGACACTCTACACACTTTGCAGTTAACCCTCAATGGCTGCCGTACCAGGCCTGTGGTGACGTCCTTGCTTTATAGGATAAACTGAGTCTCGGTGAGGTTCAGAGACCTGCCAGGGAACAAGTGGTTTTCAAGGGAGAGAAGGGGAGCTAGAACCCAGGTCTTCGGTCTTTCAGCCCAGTGACCTTCTACTGTGACACAGCTGTCCTCTCAGTCAGCTAGTCCCCAAAGGGAAATGCGGTGAGAGTTAGAGTGAATTAAGGAGAAGGTGGGAATTTGTGAGACCCTAATGATTTATAAAACCATGTGTTAAGAAAGGTTCTCTAAGATCCTGAAGCCACTACTGAATCGATTTATTCACACTGGACTCCCCTGATCGTGCCTCACATCCCCAGGTCGAGTCATGCAGAGTGTCCCAGACCCTGAAACAGGATCCCCCCCGTCAGCGGGACTCAGAAGATGGGCATGAGAAATGAGGCCTCGCCTGTGTCTGAGACAGAGGCCTCGGCTCTCGTCAGGCCCTGGGGACAATCTGCTCCCTGGGATTCAAACCATTCAACAATAAGAATTGAACTTTTTAGAAGAAAATAATTGGTAGTTTCCTTTACATATTTGTTAGAGATATTTAGATAGATCAATAGATTAAATTCCCATTACTTAGATTAAACCTCAAGCACAAGGTCAGAATAAAATTAGATTGGTATCCAAAAGCAAATAAACCAAAAATAACTTACTTGTTATTCGTCAAAGAAAGTAATTTTGGTATTCTGTGCTTGAGCCCCTAAATACAGCTCTGTAAATGGGAAACTCTGGCTGATTTGAAATAGAGTGTTTGAGACGGTTTCAGCCGGTGTGGGTGAAGTGGGTCAGACTGGGATATCCATGCAGTCGTGAGAGAATTTGTGTTCTGGTCTGGACGGACTATGACAATTCCTTTGCAATTAGCATTGGTGTTTCCTACATCTCAATTTAACCAATTTGATAAAATAAAATGTCACCTTAGCCTGTTAATAGCCCTCTCTTAAAATTTGTCTGTGTAATTATGGCAAATAAGCAAACATATTTATTAATTTTATCTATAATGTTTGTTTGAAGATGCATATATATAAAGTTTTCACTGGTATTCTAAAGATAGATCTTTGAAAACATGGAATAGAATATGAGGCAAAAACTTTTTTTGAAAACTTCAGATTAAAGATATTGATTCCAAGTTCTCTCATTAGAAGTTAGCTTTATAACTGAGGTGAATTTATTTTCTGCTTTCTTTCAAAAAGCAGTTGTGTGTCATCTGATTAATTATGCTTGTAATGGACTCAATAAAATTGCTGGCTGGCTTATACCAGCGCTTTAGTAACATTATAATTACAGCGTAACCTTATAATACCTGAGAATGCACAAAAAATAACCAGACACTCTAATTAAGCTTGTGCCAGCTCTGATAACAGTCTGCCCTCTCCTCAAGTTTCCACCATTGCCACAACCACCTCAGGGCCCTGAGTTTATTAGGTAAACACATTTAACTGCAATCGCATATATCATTGTTAATATCTTCATTCAACCAAATCTAGGTACCCTGCAGATTGAATCGTTTCTGTCTTTCCTTTATCCCAAAGGCACCTAAAAGAGGTTTCTATTCTGAGACAGCAATTAAACAACTGTTTGTTGAATTTGGTCAGTTCATTCTGATATCTTATACTTGGTTTCAGTAAAACAAGATCTCAGCCTGAGGCGCAGGGCACTCAGCCATCTTCAGCGTCATTGGGTTTTGGTATATATTATATATAGTCCCAAATGCTGAAGCCCTTCTGATGCTTCATTTTTTGGCAACTTAGCCTTTTGGTGAGAGCAAGTCTGCTTGATGGATGGTCCTGAACAGGAGTTATGTGATCTCTGGCCTTTGTGTGATAGAAAACATTTTTTGGAGAAACAGTGTCTTGTATAATCCATCATGAAACAATCTTTCAGTTTATCTGTTGTGACTCCAGTCTCCCTGCACCAACATAAATGTGCTTCGGATACGGTCCCAGTTTAGATAAAATTCCGCATTTGGCAATCCACCCACCATCGCCGGCTGGAACATGGCCTCCTTCTGGCTCACAAGACAATTTAAAACCCAGGTCCAGATAGGGGATGGGCGATTGTTTAGCATGGATCCTGTGTGTGAACACAGCAGATGTGGAAGTGTTGCTACAGCCAGATCCACATGGCAGGTAGGAAAGGGTTCAGGGGACCCCCTCCAGCCCCACTGTGCTGAGGGATCCAGAGGCCATCTGGTTGTCTACACCTCCGGTTAGTGCTAAAAATGTCATTTGTAGTGTTGAAGTGGGAGGGGGTTTTTTGGTTTTTATTTTTGTTTCTTTTAAGTAGCCACAGCACTCACCAAGACACCATTTTCTCACAATGTTTGTGTAGGTGAGAACCAGCAAGAGAAAGATCTTGGCAAATTGGAAAATAGAAAGCCACCTACTGCCACTTGAATTGCTCTTTGGCATACAGCAAAGCTTTTCTTTCTGTTTTGGCTGTGGTTTCACAACCTTAAAGAAGGAAAACAAAAAAAAAATGTGCTCAAGTTATTTGATTGATTAAAATACAGATTCTTAAATCACTCACTCCCTCTCTGTTTCAAATAGCGCACAGTGAACAATCTGTTTGCAATAATAATAGGCATAAAAACTCCCCACTTCCCCCCGGCTAAATGGATGCTGATACCAGAACTGCTGTGTTTACTTTGCACCTGAATTCCACTGTAGTGAGTATTTGCGAGACTTGTACTCCAAGAGAAGATTCCAAATGGCATTCTGGCAGATGACAAAGAATACAAATGCAGTTCATTTTTATATTAATTTATAGGCAGCCGGGTCCCAAGCCCCTTGGGCATCCTAGCAAAATTAGAAAAAGAAAAATAACTACAAACACATCCAAGAGAAACATATCCAAATAAAACCAAGGTCAGGAGCTCAAAATAAATAGTGCCATAATGGATACCACAAGCTACAAAGGAAAAACAAAGCTCTAAATTACTCAGAGCCCTTGAGACTGAAGATGTGATTAACCAGTTAACAGTTGCAAAGTATTTTGGAGCTAGAAAGCTTTCTATCAATGAGAGTTATATGAGTTTGGAGAAATGATTCACAAGTTGCCCTTCCCAGCCAGCAGGAATGACTCCAGGCCTACAAGCAGCTCCCCGCAACTGAGGCAGAACCGAGAGCAGAGCGTCCAGTTATTTCAATCACGTTTCAAAATAAATCGATAAAACTCAGTAGATAGCTTCTAGAGAGGAAGCTGGATAATTTCATCATTAATATAAAGAAATTACTGGCTTTAAACTGGAGAGTTACAAGGGTAGAAATCATGATATTAAACAAAAAGAAGAATTTTTTTTTAAAAAAACCTAAGAAGTTAATTAGGAAATTAACTATATTATCAATTTACTTGAGAGTGATGGGGGGTCCTTCTTCCTAGGCACAGTGCAATAGTATAAATCATCTTAATCTCAGAACATGTCTACGTGGAATCTTTGACTCAAACCCAGTTCATGGTGATTAAAGTCCGGATTTAAATGCTTGGATCCTCTTTATATGAAGTCAAAGAAAACAAGGAAACTTTAGCAAACGAATTGCATAATATTCTTGATGAGTAGTTACATGATGAAAATAATCGATCCTGTCTTCTCGGTTTCTGGGTCCTGAAACCAGCACAGTATAGAGATAACACCTTGTTTCGTGGTGGCACTATGCATCCCGCCACCCAGAACTGGCGGGAGCCCTCTGTGACCTTTCTGGATCCCGACCAGCCACCCACCTGCTCAGGAAGCTCCACGGATTCTAGACCAGTCCTTCTGATGGACTCTTTCTCTCCCTTTCTCCTGTGCTCTTCATCCAGGACCTCACCATCTCCTATTTGGACTATTACCTGGATTCCTAACTGAAAACCCTAACATCAGTCTTTTTCTGTTTGAGCTCATTCTCCACACCAGACTCCTAAAAAATTTATTTGATTATATCCCTCCTCTGCTTGAAGACCTCAGCGGGCTCTGTGCTTCTTAAGGGATAATATCAAGCTTTGTAGAACAACATGCAACACCCTCTGTGTCCCCACCTGGCAGCTATCCCCAACCATTTACACCATTCAGGTACCCTGTCCCCCAGCCACAGGGAACTCCTTCCTGCTTCCCAACTCCGCTCTCGGCTTCTTCATGTCTTCATGATTTCATGATTATTTTTGCTCTGCCTGAAACGTCTCCACTTCCTTTTCTACCTCCTGAACTCCCAAGCATTTACCTTTTTTCAAAACTCACAGAAGATGTTGCACCTCCCCAAGAACCACCGTAAAAGCCATGCCTGAGATCCGGGTTAGATGTTGCTTCTAGGCACCAGGTGTTCATTTCCTCCGCGTCACTCTGCACCCTGTTAAACATCTGTCAGGTTAGCGTCTCTCCGTCCGAGTTATGGCCCATTGAGAACGAACATAAATCATTTGCTTCTGTTGTGTCTTTGTACTCTCAGTGCCTGGCACACAATGGGCAGTCAATAAATGCCCGCCCTCCAAAAATTGTCTCCCCACTAGACCACAGATGTCTTACCTGAACACACCATGTCTTATCTATATGTGTACTTACTGAATGAGACTTCAAAGAATGAACAATTTGTCATCAATCAATTACCAAACTTGTAAATTTTTTAGCTCTCTCATAAATTCCTGTTTATAAGCCAATTTAAAAGTTCATTCCTAACATGCAGGCTGGGTTATAAATAGCCTCCAGCATACCTCAGAAACGTGGTCTGATTCTCACTGGCTTTCACCTGAATCCTCAGAACTTAGCCTGGGAAAACCGTCATCAACTCAGTCACATCTGTGGATCTGGCAAAAGCTATGCAAGAAATAACTAGCTACATAAAATGTAAGTGATGTTTTCCTTATCAAAAGAAATATATATCCCTCAATGCTAGGTAAGCATTGGCAGCCGCTGCAGTTCCACCTCCCAGCTGACCCAAGGAAGGATGGACTCTTTCAAATACTCATACAGAAAATAAATAAATGATATTGTTCCTAAATTTGCTCATGAATATCCAAAATCACCTCTATCAATAATTAGTCCATAATGAGAAAACTCGCTAAAATCATAGAACAACATAAAAAAACAAATTCCCAAAATTAAAATGAAGGAAAGATTTTTCATACACACCACTTAAGAAAAAAGCCCTTTAAATTATTGAAATGTATTGTTTACAATAACTATTTCTATTTAAATTACATATTGGCTTAATTTACAATTTACTGAAAATTCTAAAATATTAGAAGAATTATCATCTGTGTAACAGCTTCAGATTTATCACAAATTTGATTCTTTTAAATTAATACTAGCTGACAAATTAAACTTAAATATAAGTGAGTCTTATACTGTACATATATTCAACTTGAGAGACAACCTGTGCTAAGTTGGTTCTTAGAAAAAAATGTTTCCTTCCTATCTACATGCCTTCTCTGAAGATAAGACAATAAACATCTGTGAAGAAATAACTTTTGAGCTTATTAGATTAAGTTTCTAAATACAGTTTAAAGGTATGTACATTGCTTTCAATTTTAGCCATTGTTTAGCCATTATTGGCAAATGTCATTTTTTTGTTGCTGTCACTGGAGACATCATTTACTCACAATGAACTGTGCAGTTCCATGAGTTCTGAAAAATAAACACACCTGTTAGATACGCATCAAACGAGATTTAAAGAAATCCGTGCATCACGGCAGATCACTCCCTCGGGCCCTTGCTGGACAATCCCAGGGCCACCACTGTTCTCACTTCTGTCAGGACAGATTAGTTGGCCTATTTTTGAGCTTCATATAAATGTATGTACGCATTTTGTGCCCAGATTCTGTTACTCAGTATAAAATTTTGAGGTTCGTTCACGTTGCTTGCCTATTCATTCATTTTTGTTGTTCATTCATTTTAATTGCTCTGTAATATTCAATCGCATGAATACACTGCTCTTTGTTAATTTATTCTCCTATTGATAGACATTTTCGTTGTTTCCAGGTTGGCTATTAGGATAAAACTATCTTTTTGTAGTGGTTTTGTTTTCATTTCTCTTGGGTAAATACCTGAGACTGGAATTGCTGGATTACAGGAATTGCTGCATATATTTAATTTATGAGCAAATAGTTTCACGAAGTTGCTACACCATTTTACGCTCTAATCAGCAATGTGGGAGGGCACAGCTGCTCTTGTCCTTGCCAATATTTGATATTCTTAATATTAATATTTTCTAATTTTAGCATTCTGTGATTGTGAAGAGACGTCTCTGAGTATTTAATTTGCATTTCCCAGATGAACAATAAAGGTGAACTTTTTTATCTTCCTTACTGTGTGATTCACATTTCAGTCTACCCACTTTCTAATTGGGTCGTTTTTATTATCTATCATTGAGCAACACAAATTCTTCACATATTGTGGTTATAAATATTTTTCAGATATATGTATTTTAAATATTTTCTACTAGCCCATAACTTGTCCACTCACTTTTTTTCCTTCTTCTTCTCCCCAAGCCCCCCAGGACGTAGTTGCATATTCTAGTTTAGGTCCTTCTGGTTGTGGCATGTGGGATGCAGCCTCAGCGTGGCCTGATGAGCGGTGCCATGTCTGTGCCCAGGATCTGAACCGGTGAAACCCTGGGCCGCCAAAGCAGAGCACATGAACTTAACCACTCGGCCACAGGCTGGCCCCTGTCCACTTATTTTTAGGGCAAGTTTTGGCGAGCAGAAACTTTAATATTGATGTTCATTTAATCATTGGTTTTATGACCTGATTAAGAAATCTTTGCCTCTCTCACAGCTGCAAATGCGTGTTCCTCGTTCATACTGGAAGCTTTATGGTTTTAACTTTACATTTAGGTCTATGATTGATCACAAATTAATTTTTGTGTATGTTGTGAAATACTTCTCAACACTAATTTTTTTTTCTAGATGGAGATCCAGTTGATTTAGCACCAAAAGCATTTTCCTTTCTCAATTGAGTTACTTCAATACTTTCTTGAAAATCAATTAGCCGTGTCTACGTAGGCTAATCCTATGTTGCTCCATCGAGCTATCTGCCTTCGCCATAATATCTTGATTACTGTAGCTTTAAGGCTCAAAATCAGACCATCCCAGTCCTCCAGCTTCGTTCTCTTTTTTAAAGTTGTTTTGGCCATTCTATATTCTTTGCATTTACATATAAATTTTAGAATCAATTTATCTTTTTTCACATACACACAATCTAGCTTGGATTTTTGTTGGTATAAGAATAAATCTACAGATGATTTTGAGGAGACTTAACACCTTAACCCTTTAATATGGCATATATTTCTACATTTATTTATATTTTATTTCATTTCTCTCAACAGTGTTTTATAATTCTCATTATAGAAATCTTCCATATATTTTTAAAAAATTTATTCCACATTTCATGTTTTAAAATACAATTATATTAAGATACAATACAAAAGTACAAATAACATTTTAAAATTTAATTTTCTAGTTGTTTGTTCCTGGTCTACACAAATACAATTGATTGTCATATACTGACTAAGTACTCCATGAGTTGCTAAATTCACTTTTAGCATGAAGTGCACAGTGAGTACCACACGAGGTGGCTAAAATGTGCGTAAAAACTCACCGTCTGACTCGTAGGAAGAATCAGAAGAAAGAATTCAGGGGGATCAAGGCAGCAGTAAAATGAAGAAGGGAATCTGGAGAGGAGAGAACCTGGGAATGGGAGCCTCAGATTCTGGATAAATTCTAGTCCAAATTCCTAAATTATCCAAGTACCGGACAGATTCCAAACAGACCAGCTCAAACACGTAGAGATTTCAGCTGCCGGCCACTGCGGGGAGTCAGAGCGTGGAGCTTGAGTCCATCACTGCTGATTCTCTAATAAAGCAAAAAGAAATCAATACTCTGAGGAACAGAGCAGAGGCCCCGGTCTCTACAGTGGGGTCCTCACCATGGCCAGGATTCAGGACTGATTGTCGGGCACTGCAGCACGACACTGCAGCGAATCTGGGTTATGCCGTCCACCTTGAAGGAGTGTTCCGTTTTGTTCTGGCAGGCAGTTGATTTACTGATGGCTCACCAGGAGCCTGTCAAGACTTGGTTCTAGGCCGTCCAAGGGTGTGGAATTATCTCTAACGTGTCACCGTTCAGGGACCTGGATTAAATGTTCCCTTTTGCAGGACAGTGAATCTGATTTGCTTTACACCATCATTCCAGAACCAAAATTTCAAAGTGTTTTTATAAAAGTACATTTAAGTATATTAGCCAGCTTCTTAAGTAGACACACCAATTAGCTTCCATTTAACATTTAAACTGAAACCATACGTATTACTTTTACTGGGTTTCCTTAATTGTCGCCGGGAATGGATGTTCCATGGAAAATCTGAAGAGTCCCACAGATGAAGCAAGTGCCAACACATTAAGCTTGCTTTAAAACACGTCTTATATAAATGACTTCTTTCTTTTAGATCCTTTCTTATTAGAATTCCAAAGAAATACAAAGAGGAAGCCCACCTCTCGGTTCTCTAAATGAGAAGGAAATCGTTAAAATTTTTATGATTAACTCCAGGTATGTTGGGCCTAAAAAAGGTCATGTCACAAATGACAGAAGCGAGCCAGGCCCTGTTCACAGAGCTTGTCGGTAGACAGGCCTCTGTCTGCTCCACCTAAGATAGGAGGGCGCTGAGCTCGACCTCCAGCTAGTCTAGACCTTTGAGATGGTTCCAGGAGACACCTCGCCCTCCCCGGGAAGGGCCCGAGTCCAGGGCTGATAATATGTTACTATTATTTTAAGTTATCTTAAGTAGACAATAAAAGCACTTCGTTGAAAATCCTTTCTGATACATCTGTCAATAATAAAGTGTAAGTTTAATATTACCTATTAATTACTACGGGGCAGTCAAGAAGGAGGGAATTTCCTCTGATCTTTATCACAAAATACCTTAAAACTCCAACACCTAGTACAAAAGTGAACACTTCAAACACGACTATAGGAAAATGTTTGTTCCATCTATTTGTTTTGTTTTTACAGAATATGCTAGTGGTAGATTCATAGAAACATATCCCCTGTTAAGTTCAGAGTATTATCAGAAACACGTTCCAGAAGGAGCATATAGGCAGTGCGTCCGGCTTACAGCCAATCTCTTTAATCCAGTCCATACATGTCCCCATACTAGGTGTTCTAAGAGTAAGATACCTTGACTATTTCTCATGTTCCATTTTCAGATCACAAGAGAATAGGTGAAACGGAAGCAATAAGTAAAGAACGTCTCATGTGGGAGAAACACTGTTTTCCATTTGCTTTGAAAATTAGTATCATTGCTGCGCGGTTCAACCCAGAGCGCTCTGTGGCCCAGAGCACGGGCTTGGGAGCAGGGCCTGTGCCCCGCCGGCAGGAGGAAGGAAGCCTTGTTCTTCGCCAAGTATCTCTGTGATGTACTGACGCTCAGGGGGTTGGGTTTGCCTGGAAGAAGAGAGGAAATTGGGGGACAGGGACTCTGAAGGGCACAGGGACGAGGACAGCGAAAGGCAAGGGTCGGCTTTTACCCTCTTCCCTCCCAGCCAGCCTGACAGGCAGGTTTTGAGCTTCAGGACAAGCAGCTGAAGGCATTGTACGAATGAACAACTGAAACAGGAGGCGCGGTAGGACCCGAGGATCCAGGCAATATATGCAGCACAGAGCCAGGGGAAGGCCGGGGTCTGACTCCCGGAGCCCGCCCCCTTCAGAACCACAGACGCTGCGCTCGGGTGCCAGCGACAGAGCCCGGCTGCGGGGAAGACCTCACAGGGAGCGGGCAGATAGGCAGGGGAATCCACAGTTCCCTAACAAAACTACATTTGTCCCTCTCACTCTATTCTTTGTTTTAGTTTTGAAATGATGGCAAAAAAATTATTGAAAAAATATTTATTGAATGCAGATGCTATATCATGCCTTATACTTTGCTTAGTAGAAGCTTTCCTCCGCCTGCAGGGAGATTAAAATCTTGTGAGATAAATAAGATATCACACAAATAACCAGAATACAAGATGGAATGCGAGAGGTATGTTAGAGAGACACCTAGCATATGAGCATTCAGAAAGAGACAAGGAGTGATCACAAGAATATCCAGTATTTAAGGAGCACTTCATATATGCCGGATTTACT